ATTTTTAACCGTTAAATAACTTCATTCAAAACTAATTTAAGAATATTATTTTTTTTATAAAAGAAAATAATATAATGTATATAATATATGAATATGCGTTTTTAGTTGTATACCTAATTAACCTTTAAGGGATTTTCAATTATTTTTCTTTTAAATTTATTTTGTTTTTTTCCGTATTAATATATTCTAAAAAACAGTGGTTTTTATTTTTATTTTCTTTTTATTTACATATTTTATACAATGATTTTTGTCCTTGCAAATTAAAAATAAATTATTTATTTATAAACAAAGTCTTATGTTTTAGTTCTTATGTAGGTAGTTAGCAAAGTTATGCGCGGGTTTGAACATAATGAGCATAAATAATTATCCCTTAACGTTTACACTACACCTACATGAGCAACATAGTGTGGGACAGAAATTACTAATATATATTATGTTTAATATTATACCCCTTTGCTATATAAAACTAATTTGTATATTCTAATTAAATAGTATTATTGTAAGATTAGCTATTTCTAAATTTAAAAAATGTTCCTAAAAATTACACTTTTAAATACTTAAATTTGATTGAAAAAATGAAATCTTTATAAATATATTTAATTAAATATTTTCTGTATTTTAGATTAACAAAATAACAAATATATAGGTATGTTGTTATTTTTGCCACTTATTTAAAGTATAATGTTTATGTTATACCTTTTTTTTTTATTATTATTATTATTATTATTATTAAAAATCCATCCCGCTGGAAGGATCTACATATATTTTTATTTTCAGACCTAAGTAATCCGATTTTATCTCATAGATTTTGGAATGCCAGAAAATATTATGCATAAAATCTGGGTATGATAGAATTGAGTAAAAAAAATATTCAATCATAAAAACTGTAAGAAAATTATATTTACTTGTTATTTCTTTTTACTGTTATTCGTAAGTGTTACTTCCAATTTATATATATTCAAAATTTATATTTTTATATTTCGTTCTCGTTTTAATTCGTTAGTTTTAATAATAAAAAATACTAACAATTTTCTTTTAAACTTATACTTCCTTATTTCTGCCATTTTTACAAGTACATAATCTAAATAATTAAAAAAAAAAAAAACTGAAACAATACTTATTATACAATGTATTATATTGGTTTTCATTATACAGTATTATATATTATGGATTTCGTGTTATATTTCTTAAGTTTACCTCTTTTTAATTATTGTTTAGGGTTGCGTGTCGATATTACATTGTTGAAAAAAGAGGAACTCAAAACAGACACTTACTAGACAGTCTAAATATCCGCTGTGTGCTCGTAATTTCTCTCTTTTGTCGTCGGCTTAAGAGTCATGACATAAAGTATATATCCGGTGTTTTTATGGATATAAAAAAACTTGTCTTTGAAATAAAATGTATTATTCATAACAAATATTTATTTTATAATATTTTTCAACTTCAATTTTTATGGACACGATAAGAAGAAAAAATTTAAAAATATATATATTTAGAATTAAAATAATATATAATTGCACTCTAATTAAATACTGAACGTCAGGATATATATAATATATACAAACAAAACGAGTATGGGTGGCCATACTTCTACGAATTACATATGGAAATATTATTGTTCTTGTTGAACCGGTTGTATATTTATATCTTTACATCTTTACACACACACACACATGTATATATATTTTATACATATGGATTATAGTTTAATATTTTCGATGTGCAGAAGAAAAAATACAGCAAATAACTCAAAAGTTATACATTTTTATCTATTGATAATTTTATATTTACCAATTTTAAAACATTAATTATTTCATTATATTTCATATACTTAAAAATTCAAATTTTAATCCATGATGAATTCATTTTTTTCTCGTCGACATCTGTGTTTAAATTTCAACATTATTATGGGAATTTCTAAATCTTTCAGATTATACATAATATTCATTCGTGGCCTTGTTTTAGATTCTTAGAGTTTTTCATAATAAAAACCCGTTGTTTTTAACATTCTATTATTTTCTATTTTTTTTTTCATTTTTATAACATTCTTAAAAATTATATTTAAAGCGTATTATAAGTATTTTTATTTATTTATTTATTTTTTTTTTTTTATGAGGAAATTACATTGATCGTATTTATAGATTTATAATAGAATCTTTTTAGTTGATAATATATTGAATTTTATAAATAAAGAATTTCATTTTTGCTAAATTATTTAAATTAAATTTGTCTGTTCCAATTAATTTCTGAAATATTATATTAATTGAAAGTATTTACAATTTATTATTTCAGATGGATTATGCAAGCTCTCAAAGCAGTTTACGCTCAGTAAGTACTTCCATCACTCGGAACACCGGGATGGAACGTGGTGGAGCAATCAACCTCGTATTCGACGACAGCGTAAATATATTGCTAATTTATGTTTTAAAATTATAATTGATTTACTATTCTGACATAAAATTTTAAACCATCATTGTTTTATTTTGTGCATTTTACATATAGTACATTGCTGCGATTCGACCTGAACTCTACCAGAAAAGCAATCGCAGCTCACATAGTTCGGATACTAGTTCAGCGTATTCGGGTAGTGACACCATGACTAGTGTTCATTCAGGAAGTGTTTCTGTCGAGGCCGACGAAGTCGACTTGTCAGGTCTTGTAGAATCGATCGTCGATTCAGATGAAGACGACTTAGGTGACAGCAGTGAAAGCCTCACAGTTCGGGACACGGTGCGGGAATGTCTGGAAAAGGATCCTTCGGAAAGGACAGAAGACGATGTTGAAATCCTTCTGGAATTCACTCAGCACCTAAAAGCCTTCACAAACATGACATTGGCCGTGCGTCGAGCGTTGTGCAGCGTCATGGTATTTGCCGTTGTCGAAAAAGCTGGCACCGTGGTTATGAATGACGGTGAAGAGTTAGACTCTTGGAGTGTACTGATTAATGGTCACGTTGAAGTCGAACATGTAGACGGAATTCCTGATCAACTTCACATGGGCGATAGCTTCGGCATTGTACCGACGATGGAACGACTATACCATCGAGGTGTAATGAGAACAAAGTGCGATGATTGTCAGTTTGTTTGTATTACTCAGACTGACTATTATAGAATACTTCATCAAGGCGAAGAGAATACTAAAAAACACGAAGACGATGACGGGAAATTGGTCATGGTCACTGAACAAAGGGGTACATTAGAAGCAGGAAGAAGGGGTCACGTAGTTATTAGGGTAAGTCTACTATAGTATGTTATTATTTTTAAAACTATGGTTTTATTTAAATTTTATGTATGTGTATGTTAATTAGGGAACACCAGAAAGACTGATGCTTCAATTGATCGAAGAGAATTCGGTTATAGATCCAACTTATGTAGAAGATTTTCTTTTAACTCACCGAACTTTCATTAAAAATTCAATGGAAGTTGCCAATCAATTATTGGATTGGTTTAATGAACCTTCTGCTAGAGATCGTGTTACCAGAGTGGTGCTACTATGGGTGAACAACCATTTCACTGATTTTGAAATGGATCCAGTGATGATGGACTTTATTGAAAAGTTTGAAACTTGCTTAGAAGAGAATAAAATGGGTGGTCAATTAAGACTATTAAATATTGCTTGTGCTGCAAAAGCAAGAACTAGGTGTGTTACTCTAGCCAGGCCATCTAGAGATCAGGTGCTACATTTTTCCATTTTGGGAGGATATGAGAGAGGATTTGGAATTTTTATTTCTAAAGTATGTATATAAATATTAATAAAATTATTTTTTTTTTCTGATTTAATATAATTTTTATAACTAGGTGGATAAAAAATCCAAGGCTGAAGAGGTAGGTCTTAAAAGAGGAGATCAAATTTTAGAAGTCAATGGACAGAGCTTTGAACATGTAACAACCCATACACGTGCTTTGGAAATTCTACGGGGTGCTACGCATTTAAGTATCACTGTCAAGTCAAATCTTTTAGGTAAATGGCTTTTGTTAAAAGAGTAATAAATATAATATTATATAATAAATACATTTTTATTATGTTTATTCTTAATTCTAATAATATGTTTGCACAATTACAACTATAGTGTTCAAAGAATTGCTTGCAACTCCAGACAACTCGCCACGACCAAGAGGAAGACAGAAACAGTCAGTTGAAATTGCTCGACTTCAAGATGATCCTAGATCTAGGCCACTGCTTACTGCTAATCTCCATCCACCTATCCAACAACCAATTAAAACAAATGCATCTAACTCTTCAAGTAGTGGAGGTTTTATGACTCTTGGTCCCAAAAAACGTCTCCAACGGGCTTTAATGAAAATGAATATTTTACCAAAAAATATTATTGGTGACGTGTGTGATGATAGTTCTGTATTGGCTAAATCTGACTCTAGCTCAAATTTTAAACAGTCACATAGCCATCCAGACTTAACATCAATATCTTATCTAGACGATACTCGGGTAGTACCAGATTATCCAGAACATGTACTTAAAGTGTATAAGCCTGATCAGACATGTAAATACTTATTGGTTCATAAAGAAACTACAGCTCATGAAGTTGTCATGCTTGCGTTACAAGAATTTGGAATCACTGAACAAAGTTCGAATTATTCACTGTATGAAGTTTCAGTATCCGAAGGTGGTATAATAAAACAAAGAAGATTGCCAGATCAACTCCAGAATTTAGCTGAACGAATTGGACTTAGTAGTAGGTTAGTATTAAACATAATATCTTAAAAATAATTTTTATTAACGTGTGTTTTATTTGTTACATAGATATTATTTAAAAAATGTTGTCAATACAGAAACATTAGTTGGAGATGAACTTGCTGCTGATTTAATTAGAGAAAGTCATGTTCATTTCTTGCAATTAAATGCTGTTGAAGTAGCTGTACAACTAACATTACAAGACTTTTCCATATTTAGGCAAATTGAAGCAACAGAATATGTTGATGACTTGTTTCATTTGGACAGTCGATATGGAATACCTATGCTATCTAAATTTGCTGAAGTATGTGTTCCCTAAAGTTAATACAAATTATGTAGAAACCAATTATTTTTGAGATTAATAAAATTTATTTATTATACACTTTTCAGTTGGTAAATACAGAAATGTTTTGGGTTGTTACGGAAATTTGCTCTGAACATAACCTTATTAGACGGTCAAAAATGATCAAACAATTTATAAAAGTAGCTCGTATGTAAAGAAAAATTTGACTAAACATTAACTATTTTTATTTCTGATTTTAATTGGTTTATTATTAATTTTATTATATAGGTCAATGTAAGGAGTGTAAAAATTTTAATTCTATGTTTGCCATTATTTCTGGACTTGGACATGGTGCTGTTAGTCGTTTACGACAATCATGGGAAAAACTACCCACAAAATATCAAAGATTATTTAGTGATCTTCAAGATTTAATGGACCCTTCAAGAAATATGAGTAAATATCGTCAACTAGTCAGCAATGAACAATCTCAACCTCCTATTGTAAGTTAATTTTAATATATTAGAATATACTCTAAACATAACATAATTTTAAAAGTATGTAGTGAAGTATTTATTTCTAAAAAAAATTTTAGATACCATTTTATCCAGTTGTTAAAAAAGATTTAACATTTATTCATCTTGGCAATGATACACATGTAGAAAATTTAATTAATTTTGAAAAGTTAAGAATGATTGCCAAAGAAGTTAGAAATTTAACAAATATGTGTTCGTCTCCTTATGACCTATTGACAATGTTAGAACTTGGTGGACAACCCACATCCAATGCAATGGTAGCTTTAAATCAACTTACTACTGGTGTCAGTGGAGGAGCTCATCAAGGAGGAGCTGCTACAGTTAAAAGAAGAAAAAAGTCTGCTGCTACACCTAATCCAAAAAAAATGTTTGAAGAAGTATGTACAGGAGTCGATATTATATTATCGTTATACTATAAAACGTTCAACACTAAATATTTGTTTCCTTTAGGCCCAAATGGTCAGAAGAGTAAAGGCATATCTTGCAAAAATGAAAGTAATCACTGATGAAGAAAAGTTACATGAACTGTCCATGAGTTGTGAAGGCTCTAGTGCTAGTGGCTCTATAATGGGACCAGGACCAATAAGAAAACGACATCCATCACCAACGCTTTCAACAGCTAGTAGTGCTAGTAGTGCTAGTGAAGGGCTGAAAAATACTGGTCCTAAATTTGGTAATTATATTACTAACTACTCTTAACTAAATTAAAATGAATTAAAAAAAATTTATTTCATGACTTTCATTAAAATATATTAGGCTCTGCATCACCACAAGCTGTACGAAAATTATTATCACTGAGTGAGCAAAATAAAACTAGATTACACCAACCCAGATATCATATGGCACCATCTCCAGGTCCACCTACTAGACGTAATATCCATCAACCACCAAGTGTTCCACCTACTACATCTCATGAACGTTCTCATTCTGATACTACGCCTCTGAATCCCCCACCACCTCTACTCTTATCATCTGTTGATCTTAATGCTGAGAGCAGTAGTGTTACCAGCTTATCAAACCTATCTCTAAGAAAAGCTGTTACATCTAGTAAGTTCATATATATCAACTATTAAAATCAATACACAAATGTATACTTATTTAAAGTTTGCCCTAGCGGGTTCAGTGACATCCAGTGATTCAGGGCATTCAACACAAACAAGTGGTTCAACAGATATTTGCATGCCACCGGGAGCCTCACCACCACCGCCACTCCATTTGAGGAGACATTCAGTACTACAACCACCAGGTAATACTCTTTTCACTTACATTGTACCAATTTTACATCTATTGTTATTATTATTACTAGCTGGTTATCAAATTGGAAACCGTCCTATCTATTCGTCAAACATGCAAATGATGGGATCATCAACCAACTGCATGCGGACGAGACCACCACCAGCTTACAACGCAAGTGTTGCCCAAATGGCAGCTAGAATGCATCGTTTAGGTAGAGCACATTCACATGAAGGTGTCACATCAACATATTATCTACGAGACGATAATGATGATGATGATGGTAATTTAGTCATTAACTTAAGTAAGAATTTGTTTTATTTTAATAGTCTTGACTACTTTTTCAGATGATGAAGATGCCCAAGTATCTGCAGTATGACTAGTCAAACCACCTCTGATGTAAAAAATTGGCCATGAACATATCAAAACAATAATTACTTGTAAAATTTTTAAAAATATGATTTCCATTAATTTATAAGTACAAATTAATGTTTTGAATGTATAATATATTTTAGAGATATCCAATGTATTGGTATAATCTTATAAGTTTTTTAAGGTTATTCCAACTTATGTAGCACTTAATATTCTTTTTATCTTTTCTACAAATTTTTAATTTTGATTTGCGCAAGAAAAAAAAATGATTATTTAAAATCCATATTGATCCAGCTATCATTTTTATTAATATAAATTTTTTTATTTATTTATATATACATATATATGTAATTACTATACAGTTTTTTTTTTTTTGTTAATTAATTTTATAGGCCAAAATATAAATTTCAATCATTATTGTAGAATGTCTAAATATAATGTTAATTTATCTTTCTGTATTAGGATAAAATACATTTGAGTGACACCTATAAGTTGCATATTATTTAATATGTAATGAATTTCTATGTTTTGGTCCAAAAAGTATTATTTTTTACGCCATTTTAAGTTAACTGGTTTAGACTAATTTTCTAGGCCAACCATATAGTGTAATCTAATTAAATTATTAATTTTATGTTATGATTTATACAATTTTTTTCATTTGTTTTAAATTTTATTCCTAAATTTTATATTGTATATCTTAACTTTGAATTTATATTTATGTATTGTTGCTACTGACTGAGTATGTGTAAACCATTCGTAAAGATTATCGTGTTTTTTTTTTTTTTAATCTTATTTTTATTTACTTTTTACCATGACATTTAAGCTATATGTAAATGTTGAAACATAAACAAAACTATGCCAAATCATTATTACTACAATCACTGGTATTCATAAACCATCCTTTACTTACTAAATTAGATGACATTAATATTATTATGATTTATAATTATAACAAAATAAGACAATTTGATTTTCAGAGAAACTATATACAATTTATTTTGTACTGAATTATTAGTATTTACTATTTAGTGTATTTTTGTACATTAACTGGGAAGTAAATTATTATTAACAAAGTTAAATTTGAATTTAATCAAATTTTTTAACAATGATGTTATTAGAATGACTTATAAAAAACAAAATACAGTTTTTATGTAATTAGGAGAAAGACACATTGGTATTATATAAACAATTAAAAGGAGTTATTTTTTGAATTTCATCATAAAAATGGTATGAATCATCAAAGTATGTGTTAAACAATGATGGCTTGTTCCACTATTATTTCTAAGCTACTATATATACAAATACTTGGGTATTTGGTAATCATTTTAAATTATATAGCTCAGTTTATTATTGGTATAACATAAAGACAAAAATATCATATGATATACAAAAAATAATAGTATTTTTAAAAATTAAAATTGTATCTCATTTTTCCAATTACAGTAGAAATTCGATTAACCATTGCTCTCTGTTATCCGTCATCGCTATCAAACGTATAAAAATATGTTCTAATATCCAACATATGCAATAAATACAATGTGAACAAACAAACTGAATTACATATTTCTAATTTAATCAGTAACTGATGAGTAATCTGGTATTACAAAATATTGTAGCTAAAAATGCTCGAGCATCAAAAAAACCAAAGGAAAATAACAGATTATTTTGTTTAAAATTATTAGTTTTAGTTTAATAGTGTTTAGTATGGTATGTAATATATAGTATATATGTATATTTTTTTTAAAAATACACATGTAAAATATTTACATTAATTACAAAATTTCTATTAACTTATATAAATAATATCTAGCAGGGGCGTCATTTCAACTTTTGAAAAAGTGGGGCAACTGATTAAATTTACCGACTTCATAATATTTAAATATTTATGGACCATAAACTATCAATAAAATATTTTTTCAGAACAAAACATGTAAGAATTAGTAATGAATAATAATGTCATGATGATAAACAATTTTCCCAATTAAATAATAACATTATAGATAGTAAAACATTAATTTATTTACCTATCCTATAGGCTATAAGTTACCTATCAATAGGTTTAATGGAATAATAATATAAATCTAATTAAATAAATAATTATAATTTTATTATTTGTATATTCAACACTTTACAGAACTTATTTAAAAAAAACATAAAATTGTATCTCAAATATAATGTACCGTAGTTTAGAGTGACTAGGAACGATTTTAACGATTTTTTTTGATAGATTATGAGCTTAATTTTTATGGTATTGATATCATGAAAATTGTTTCATAAAGATTACATATATAATATACCAAAAATAAAGTTTATAAGTTTCGTGTAATAACGATTGTCAAAACCGGGGAGGAGCCAGTGTTTCCCAACTTTTAATAAACCGTGAATGTGATTTAATAGACAATATTATCTTATTTCTGAGTACAAAATAGTAAATAAAAATGTACAATTTACTGATTTTAACATTCGATCATCGGACAAAAATTGCCGCCTTTTTAAAATTTCTTGTGGTGAGGAATTTGCCATAGATTGCCCTCGCCCTAATGACGCCCCTGATATCTAGTGGTTGTTGATCGAATTTCAACTGTATACATAAAAATCAATTGGGCACATATAAATTAACACAATTTAAGAATTTATGAGATCATTATATGCAATGAAAATAATTTATGGAAATTAAATTTGATTGATGAGTTAAATCTTGTTCTTAAAACAATGTAAATTCTGTAAATAAATGTATGAAGTCATTCAAAATAGCTTGTGAAATGAGTAGGTATTAATTGTTATAATGTAATTGTATGACATTCAATAACAGTAACAAGTTGTTAAAATAGAAACTGTCATGACTTGTCTTTATGTTTAGATTTAAAAGGTTAATCATAATTATACTAACAATTTTCAATACTCACTGCAATGACCCACTTTACTTTAAATAGGTATAATAAAGCAAATTTGTTTCATAAATTATTTTTAATTAAATATTTTTAAAGTTATTTCAAGATTTACAAAAAATTTTCAAGCTTGAAAATTCGCCGATTTGAATTATTGACAAATAAAAAAAATTATACTTAGATTATTATTCCTATGATTTGACAAGCATTATTATTTACAGCTACCTAATAGAAACTAATACAGAAAAACTTTCATATAAAGGTCATCGAAGGGACTAGAAATAATGACTGGTAACAAAAGTTCAATGCATTCCAGATAACCGTTATACCTACAGAGTACTTGCAAATTTTAAAAATAAAATACTAAATAAATAACAAGTATAAATATGGGTACTAAAAAATATTTTTATAATTTACAATGTAATGTAGGTACAGATTTATCATAACAAATTAGATAAATCAGTTGGTTTTAATTCAATATTATCTGCAAGGTAAGTGCACTCACATTTTTTTTTTTTTATAAAAATCTAACAACTTAATTTTTTCCGCTAGAATTAGATATTTTTTTTTGAATGCCATTAAAACTTTACGTACTTCAAAATGTTTTCAGCAAATACTGAATATTAATGAAACATGATAAAATACAGTTACAGAAAAAATGTTCATCGCTTTATGGACATCATAAATGCTTAATAAGATAAACTATTAATAGTAATAAAAAATTTTTTCATTTAACATATTTTTAAATTTTTACCGTTAATTATAGTTATATTTGTTAGAGGTGTTATTGTATTTTTCCCACAATACTCGAAGTGACCCAAAAAATATATGTTTACATACATGGGCAGTGGCATACACATAACTTTTGTATTAGGGGAAAATCAGTTGCAAACAAATTATTATGGAAGGAAAATTCCTAAACCTAAGTCCTGCACATTTAAATAATAAAAGATATATATACAGTGTGATCACGATGAGTGGAAACACTCAATAACTATGTGCAGGCTTCATATATTTCAAATCTGTTTTTTTGGCTAACTAATAAACATTATTATACACATTTTTAAATAATTAGACTATTTTTGAGACATTTAATTTCGCGCATGCGCACAATAATTTTTTTTTTTAAATGGCATGACCTATTTTTGACCACAAATTATTTTTTTTTTGTATTTTTTAATGAATTTTGGTGGTTGAATTTCTTTTCTAAGTTAAAAAATGGCCGAGCTATAGCGATCTGATTTTATGTTATTTGCATGGGTATAACAGATTATAAAATACTTAGTTAATAATAATAAAAATAAAAATAACTAATCCAATTTATGAAATACCTGTTTACCTATTGTGTTTATCTTTATTAAACTTATCTCAGTAATTGCATTATAATTATAATGTATAAATAATGTCATACGGGCATAGGTACCAGTAATAGTTCAAATAAAGGCATTTTTCACAGTCGATATTATTCTGCAGTAAGTGCCAGTAACTAATAGGAAATAAAAAATCGATATTTTGTAGTTTTAAACCAAATTTAATACTTCTCTATTAGTTATTATGAATAATAATTCAGAAAAAGTCGACATGCTTTTTACATATTGGGAATGCCAAAAAAATACACGTCTTGCCAAAGAAACCTATGCTCTTCGTTATCCAAGTAACTATGATTTAACAATAAATTTAATTTTCTCTGCTTAATTTCTCATAAAATAAATACTCTTTTTCATTTATAAATTCAGATAGGCAGCATCCATCACATACTTTTTTTTATAAACTGGAAAAAAATTTGAGAGACACCGGTTCTTTTTCCAAACGAGTTATTAACCAACAACCAAGACGAGGAAATGCTATTGGAGAAGATATTGAGGTGCAAATACTAGCTTACGTGAGAGCAAATCCTAGGACTTCTATTCGTCATGTTAGTAGAGAAATAAACATTTCATTTGGAGTTGTTCAAAAAGTTTTGAAAAAACATAAAATGCACGCTTATCGTGCTGATTTAGTTCAACATTTACGCGAAGGTGACGCCGAACGTAGAATTACGTTCATTGCTTGGTTGGAAACACAGGTAAACGAAAATCCTTGTTTTAAATTACATTCTTTGGACAGATGAATCTAAGTTTACAAATAATGGAGTTTTAAATAAACAGAATCATCGCTATTGGGATGACCAAAATCCTCATTGGACATTTGAGACTAACAATCAAACTGTATGGGGAACTAATGTATGGTGTGGTTTAATAAATGGTAAACTATTAGGGCCATACTTCTACGATGGCACTCTTAATGGAAGACGATATAACGATTTCTTACTAAATGAGCTACCTAATATGTTAGATGACCTTCCACTAGACATAAGAGCGAATTTAATATTCCAACAAGACGGAGCTCCAGCTCACAATGCAAATATTGTTCGGAATTTACTCAATGAATATTTTCCAAATCGGTGGATAGGGACTTATGGAGCAATTCAGTGGCCACCAAGGTCACCAGATCTTACACCACTAGATTACTTCCTATGGGGTCATTTGAAAACGGTAGTGTATGCCAATCCACCTACATGTCTTCTTGAATTGAAAAACAAAATAATTGCTGCATGTAATCAAATTACAGAGGAACAAATTATTTCTGCTATTAACAGAGAATTTTTAATTCGTGTTGAATGTTGTTTACAGCACCATGGTGCACAGTTTGAACAATTTGTTAGATAAATAAAACTTGTATGAATAAAAATAATAATATTTGTAATTTTATTTTTATTATTCACGTATTTATTATTATTAACTAAGTATTTTATAATCTGTTATACCCGTGCAAATAACATAAAATCAGATCGCTATAGCTCGGCCATTTTTTAACTTAGAAAAGAAATTCAACCACCAAAATTCATTAAAAAATACAAAAAAAAAATAATTTGTGGTCAAAAATAGGTCATGCCATTTAAAAAAAAAAAAATTATTGTGCGCATTCGCTAAATTAAATGTCACAAAAATAGTCTAATTATTTAAAAATGTGTATAATAATATTTATTAGTTAGCTAAAAAAACAGATTTGAAATATATGAAGCCTGCACATAGTTATTGAGTGTTTCCACTCATCGTGATCACACTGTATATTGAATGTGTCAAAATAATAATTTACCATAAATCCTTGCAATATTTATTTGTTTCCTTATAATTTCCTTACACTATTTTATACAATTGTAAAAAGACTTATGGGGGGATCTGACCCCCACATCCCCCTTATATACGCCCTTGTACATGGGACCTGTTAAAGGAAATTTTACTGTACTTAATAAAATAATATTTTTATATAATGTGAAAATAAACTGATAAATAATTACTTATATATAATAATTAATAATTTGTTTGACGTCATCTAAAAAATAAATCGTATGAATGCCAAGAGTATTTAATATTATTTAACTATAGAAACAATACTATATATAATTTATTTCTTATTTGTTATTATATTGTTATTCATCTGAACATACTTTTTGGATAATTCTCTATTATAAATTGCTTGATGACGGACTAATTTTTTTAATTCGTTTAGCTGTAAAGTTAATGAAGTTTCTTTTTCTTTCAATTTCTCCTTTTTTTTGTTTACCTCGTATCTTCTTTGAAATAACTCGCATTCTAAAACTGAACTTTTCTGTTTAATTTTGAGGTTATTAATCATTTTAATTCTAAAAAAAAAATAATTTTTATGAGTTTTCAAGAACCATATGAAGTTGATCTAAATTTTACTGACTTATAGTTCATAATATTATGAAAAATACTCATTAGTTTTTCATTTTCAGTTGTAGATATATCCAATTGATTTAACACATTAAATTGTAAATTTTTAAAATTATATTCGAGTTTTTTCATTGTTTCAAACTGTGTATTTAACGTTTCCTAAAAACATTTTAGAATAATATAGATATAATTTCTCATAATCAAAGAAATGGACTATCAACTCTATTAATTTACATCCAGTTGCTTGATTTTTTGATTTAGAATTCTCAATTGTTTTTTTAAAATGGGGACTTAGTTCGATACTTTTAGTACTAATCTCCATATTTCTCATATTTTCATAATCAACTAATGCAATGAGTTTTTCTAACCTATTTAAATAATTACAAAAACAAACAAGTAGGTAATAATAATAGATGCAAATGTTATTTAGTCAAAAATTCGATCAATTTGAGGGGAAATGGCATGCTGGTTCTATTATTGTTATACTTACTTGTGATCAAGAGGTTGAACTATGTTGTTATGATAAAACTCTATTTTTTCTTCGATTTCTTTTTTATAATGATTCGCTATTGAACACATTATTTTTAAGTTATTTTCTTTTTTTTGCAGTTCCAATTTCTTGATTTCTAATTCTTTAGATTCTTTTTCATGTTTCAATTGAATATTCTAAATCAAATGAAAATTCATTTTAAAATTAACTTAATACAAACTTATATGCATAGAGTACATATATCGATATGAAAAACATGATTTCCGTTTCCAAATTCTCAACATTAAGTGTTTTAGTATTAAATATATTCAGGGTTAGACTAGGCCACCGGGGCACCGGGGCATGCCCCGGTGGGCTGCTGTAATTTTGGTTAAATAAAATTACTTAGATTTTTTTGTTTTTAATTTAATGCGTCTACCTTCTTTTTTTTAAATAAAATAAAAAATATCGCCTTGTAACATGACATTACTAATGGATGCGGTGACACAGGATTAGATAACTCGGAGTTTGAAAATTTAACATATTTAATGTCGCAATAGGCCGATTGATAACAATGATTTCATCAGAATATTTATAAATAGAAAAATTGTAGGAAATTTGAATACATAAGATGTGTACAATATGTTAATCATACGAAGTACCGTTCGCGTTTGTTCAAACATTTTATCAAAATAAAATGTTGGTATGGGTCACAGTCTTAGAAGATTAATTTTCTAAGACCATGGTATGGGTAGACATCGTCGCGCAAGATATGCGATAACAATATTGTTTTTCGACAATAATAATTTTTATAAGATTCATTAGACTTTTATTTAAAAACATTTTAATAGTTTTGACGTTCAATCAATAACAAGTCTGTTACTAGTTTCCAACCTTTATGGACCTTTTCGCCACATTCACAAATTAAAAATGGTTCTAGAGCCAGACAATATAAAATATTTATATGATATTCAATGACATTTACTAGTTTTGAAATTTACTGTGGGTCGCATAGAAGAGACATTAGTAGCCGACCCCACTGTTCTAACTCAATTCAAATTAAATGTATAAACATATTTAAATTAAATAATTTTTTAGTGTAAAATTTATCTTAATAGGTAGGTCATCATTATATCAATATTATAGATAAGATATATTATGCGTAAACTAGATTTATTTAAGGTATAACATTAAATCTGAAAATATTTAAATGTACTTGTGTGAATATTTTTTTTTGAGATATGAAGATACATTTTCAGTTAAACAATAATTTGATTAGGTATCTACCTACTTATAAAGTTCAATTGAGGCCATTCGAAATTATTTTGCCCGGGCCGAGCTATAAAGCTAGTCCAACCCTGAATATTTTCCCATATTTAGTACCTACCATTGGTTATAATTATTATTATTATTAACTAGGTGACCCGACAAATGTTGTTTTATCGTATAAATTATTTCTAGAGAAAAAAATAACTAATTTAATATGAGTATGTAAGGATGTGGTACATAAGTGGAAGAGGTATGAAGGTATGAAGAGATATATGGGTGCTGTGAACGCTGACGAAGTATAAAAAGAAAAAAACATCAAACATTTATTTTTCTAATAATTTATTAAATTTGATCCTTTAAAATTATATATATCGCTAAATATGATAATATTAGAAAAAACAATATCAATCCCTTATTGTAACAGAGTGTACAATATTTTTTGCTATCCCATCTTTCGCAACCACAAACAAACTGGATGGTCCAAGAGCACGCCACGTATAATTGTCCATGTGAAACACATGATGTGCTTAAATCTAAGGCACAGATAGACATCGTTTGGCCTTGAGACTTATTGATAGTCATTGCAAATGCCAATCTAATTGGAAATTTAAAGCGTTTAAATTGTATTGGCACATCTGTGGGTATAATTGAGATTCGCGGTAATAATATATTTTCACCTCGGAATTTGCCATTTAAAATTATGGCTTCGATAACATTTTTCATTAATTTTTTAACGACTTATCGCGTGCTGTTGTACAACCGTGGTAGGTCAAATTATGAAGCAAAATAACCGGAGATCCAACCTTCAGTTGTAAATTATGCGGTGGCTAGCCTGGCTATTCCAATAAGTTTAAAAACTCTGTTGGATTACAGCTTCAGTAGCATCGCAAACTTTATCAATAGATTTGTATGACACCAAGTCTCCTGGTAACAAATGTTGTATCTTGAGATTCAATTCGTTGACGTCCACATTTTTTGCTGCTGAAATAGCTCTTTCTGTCAGCCACTCATGATTTGTGTATTTTCTGTGTACATTGGGAAATATCTGGTCAATGAGAGCATCTTGCAAATCAATGATTGTGTGGAAATCGGTCTGTAATTTTATGCATCCCGTTTCATCTGTAGTAACTTTTCCATCACCGATATCTAACAATTGTTTTGAGAATCTTCCACACGCAGCGTTTTTTTGATTAAATCGCAAGTATCGAAATCGTTCGCTCTCTATCTTTACATACATGTTGACCATGAATTGTTGACAAAGCTCACGACATCATAGAATAACGTTGTCCTAATCTCGTCTAATCATCAACCAATATGCATAAAAATCCTTTAAACTAACATTCTTGTTTGTTTTGGCACTTGTTGCGGGATCTTATTATTTAATATTTATGCAATACCCATCATTTAATACCAAAAATAAAATTAATAGTTTTTAAATAGTTTTTAATAGTTTTTTTTAATAGTTTCAATTAATAATTAATGTTCAATTGCGCATTTATCGACCGGGTCAAAAATTATTAAATTAAACTACGATTTATTGAACAATAGCAGTTTTCCAAAAAAAATTTTCATAAAAACCTTCTCCTGGCCTAATTCCTGACCCGATTCAAACCTAATTTGAAAGTGACGGTTTGTTAAATAAGATTTAAGAAACAAATATAATGAGAAAAAGAGGAATTTGTTTAAATTGAAAAATAGACCATCGTACCAAACTCTATAAAACGCTTGGCTTATCTCTAGAAAGACACAAGTTTAGTAATATTTTTTTCTGAGAAAAATCAGATTGCGTCAACTAACCTGTGTACTTGGTGTATTGTACTGTGCGCTGAGCGAAAGCTAAATTAATAGTTTGGTAGAATCTTATTTGTGAGAATGTAGGGTAAGAGCTTTTTAAGTATTAGCCTTTCTAATACTTTTGCTAGAAATATTAACAGACTTATGGGCCTGTATGGTGAAGGTAAATCCAGCAGTTTGTCAGGTTTGGGAATTAGAATTATATTGGTGAATTTCCATAGGAATGGAAAGTATGAGAGTCGTAAGATATCATTAAATAAATGTGTTATGAATATAATAACTTTTTTCGGTAGACATCTAGCGACTTTGGCAGTAATTATATCAAAACCTGGCGATTTTTTGAAAGAATACTACTTTATTGTAGATTTAATTTTGTTTGGTGTAAAACTTTTTTCTAGGAAATTTCTAGAGCATTGGAGAATTTAGATACTGAGTTACC